CAAGCATGCCTCTTGAACTAGTACACACTGATGTATGAGGTCTTGCACCCATTGCTTCTGTTAATGAATATCACTATTACCTCATCTTGGTTGATGATTTCACCAAGTATTCTTGGTTTTTTCCACTCAAGTATAAGTCTGAAGTTTTTAGCACTTTTGTTGTGGTGTATGTCTTAGTGTATGTTGATGATATTCTGGTTATAAGACTAGATTCTGCAGCTTGCAAACTTGTCATTTCTCAACTCTATGCGTTATTTCCTGTCAATGACTTGAGATCACTTCACTATTTTCTGGGAATTGAAGTCAAAAGGTCTTCCAAGGGTATCTTTATTTCAAAAACTAAATATATCCTGGATCTTCTCAAAAAGGCAAACATGGATAGAGCTAAGTCTTGTGCTACTCCATTGAGCACATCCAAATTAGATTACTCTTCCTCATTACTTACCAATCATGAGGAATACAGATCATTAGTAGGAGGGCTTCAATACTTAACTTATACTCGACCTGACCTGTCATTTGCAGTTAATCTTGTCTGTTAGTTTATGCATAATCCAAGGCAATCTCATTTTCAGCTTGTTGAAAGAATTTTCAGATATTTGAAGGGTTCTCTTTCCCTTGGTCTTTGGTTTCCTAAATGTTCACAACAACTATGCATAATAGCTTCTCAAATGCAGACTGGGCAGATTGTTCCCTAGATCGCCGATCTACATGTGGGTTTTGTGTTTTTCTGGGTGACTCACTCATTAGTTGGAGTGTCAAGAAACAACTTATTGTGGTCAGATCCTCAACGGAAGCAGAATACAGATCATTGGCCAACACAACTGCTGAATTGACTTAGATCTGGTCTTATTCTTCCATGTCCTCCCAAGTTATGGTGTGACAACATATCTGCCATTTCTCTAGCCAAGAACCCAATCTTCCATGCTGGAACCCAGCATGTGGAGATTAACTATCATTATATCAGGGAAAAGGTTTTGGCAAACTCTGTCACAGTTTATTTCATCTGTACACAGGATCAAACTGCAGATATTTGCACCAAGCGTTGTCCAAGGACTGGTTTCTTCTTATTAGAGACAAACTTTCTCTTCGATTACCTCAGTTTAGTTTGAAGGGGGATATTAAGGGTAGCATTGTAAAATAACAATGAGTGATATTGTTAGAGTTTGGTACAAGAGTTAGTTACATTACTTAGTTATCAAGATAAGTGGTTATTCTTATATGAAAATGTTGGTATATATATACCTAAGTGTAATCTTATTGAGATATGAAAATACACAATATTATTTTACTCTCTCTCTCTACATTTTCTCTTAATGAAACCTTTCTCTAGATTCTAATAGGAGGAACCATTGCCAACCATGGCCGATCCCAAAATCGACTAACTTGGTTGACCACCAAGGAGGAAGACGCACCGTTGTTGGAAGGTTTAGAATCGAACCTAGCAAGGTGGTAGGCCTTACGCATAGAAAGCATACCATTCTTTTTATAGAACCAGGTCAGAGTATCAGGTGGGGATCGAACACTCAACTAAATCGATAAAATAGCATCCATTTCCTATGCAGAGAAAGTAGAGCAAAGGATATCAGTCCTTCATGACTTGCTGATAGGGTCAATGAGATCGCAAACCCAGGACATAATACAATCTAGCGGTTTTGGGGAAAAAGGCCAGAATAGAGATTGAGATGGGATCCATGGGTCCTTCCAAATATCAGTTGATTGACCGTTGACAACCTGCCACAAGCACCCCAACTTAATGATCTTTCGCGCTGCACAGACGCTTTTCCAGTAGTAGGACGCCTTCGGCTTGACGGGCACATCGAGGAAAGATTGATTAGGAAAATATTTAGCCTTCAGAGTCATTGCCAGAAGGGATGAGGGTTCAGTGATTAATCTTCATCCTAGTTTGGCAAGTAAAGCTAGGTTGAAAGTGTAGAAGTTGCGAAACCCAAGGCCACCCTCCAATTTAGGGTTGCACAATCTTTCCCACGAGCACCAGTGTAATTTCTTTTCTCCTTCATTACCGTTCCATTAGAAAAAGACAATCATATCGTTAAGGTCATCGTAGAAGAATTTCAGTAGAAGGAAAGTGCTCATGGTATAGATTGGAATTGCCTGGGCGATAGTTTGAACCAATAAGTCTTTTCCCGCAGCGCTCATGAGCTTTCTCTTCCATGAATGGAGCCGTTTCCTAAGACGATCTTTAATGTAACCAAAACGAAGGCTGCAGTTTCTGCCCACGATAGTAGGAACCCCGAGATATTTCTCATGGCGATCAACACAATTGACACCTATGATCTGAGCAAATTTAACCCGGGGGGATGGGGGATTTAATATTTCTGCCGAGGCACACCTCATTTTTGGTTAGGTTAACCGATTGACCCGAACCCTTTTCATATACCTGAAGTATGTGCATAATCTGGTGGGATTCATCCTTTTATGGTACGACTTTGTCCGTATCAATACAACCACTTCGCAACCCACCCAGGTCTTCTTCTTTGGATGATCACAAATGGAAGACCCAGATGTGGGGGTTTTACAAGGTGAATATCGATGAAGCTTGGAACAAGGAACTCTTTCTTGGGGGTATTGTTATTGTCCGAGACTCTAATGGGATTTTTGTAAATGGGGTTGCTAGGAGAGATGATTTTATTCACTCCCCCATTCATGCTGAGGCGTTAGCCTTTAGAGATGGTTTGGTTTTGGCGTCAACAAAGGGTTCTTACAGAGTTATTTTCGAAAACGACTCGCTTCAGATTATCTCAGCTTTGCGGGATCCTGTCATTAACATATCGTATATTGGTCATGTTATTGAGGACTCTAAAATCGTGTTGAGATCGATCACTGAGGCTTCTTCTCCCACGTTCGTCGTTAAGCCAACAGTGCTTACCATCGCCTAGCCCGCTATGCACTTAGAAATGCTAGTCCCTTTGTTTGGTTAGATTCCTCTCCGGGTTTTTTTAGTCGACGTCCTCCTCGAGGATGTCATCTTTGTAATGGGCTGAGCATTTGCTCCTTTTTTGTATCTCTTTTATCTATGAAATGAAAATCTATCGTTTTTATCCAAAAAAAAAAAAGGAAAAAAAAGGAAAATTAATGAAAATGACTTCAAAACTTTAAATTTTAATTAAAAGACATCTAATAACTTTATTTAACGATAAGGACAAGAGAAAGAAGAAAAAAAATTATCACACGCACACCAGGTGTCGCTGCTTTGTTCATCATTATCAAATGCATGCTGCTTCTATATATATACACACACGCGCACACACACTCACACACATACACACATACATACCCTATTATGTATTATATATTAGGAGAAATTAGGTTCACATCCTTCTTTTTGCTACTCCATTGATTAAAATCCTATTCATTTTTCTTGGGTATTAATAACATCATTAATTATTTGAAAAATAAAATATTTTTATTTTTAAATATTTTCCCTTAGTGTTAAAAATGTTAAAATTAGTATAGTTATATTTATGGCTAAATTTTTTATCATATATTTTTATTTTTAGTTTGTACCTATTTTTAATTTGTACCAATTTTCTTATCATTTGTAATTTGCACCCATATATTAGTTTCTTTTTGTGCCCATATTTTTTAAAGTTTTGTTTGTGTTTGTACCTATGTGTATACCGTCACGTGACATTGTATATTTATCAATGATAGAAAAATTACATATGGTATATTTATGTTTTATGCCTAAACTTTGTATCATATATTTATATTTTGAGTTTGTACCCACTTTTAATTTGCAACATTTTTTTAAAATTTGTAGTATTTTCTTTTTAGTTTCATTTTGTACCCATGTATTAGTTTCTTTTAGCGCCTATATTTTTTAAAAATTCATTTGTACTCATAATTTTTTAATCTTTTATATGTACCCTAATTTATTTATAATGTACCCATTCTTCTTTATTAATGTACCACTTTGTTATATATGAAATGTATCAATTATTTTGTAAAATGTACCAATTTTTTTTAACACTATGGATGCATTCTTTTGCCATTTATTATTTCTTATTTTACATAGTTTTTATCCATTTATTCAATCAAAATGTTTGAATTTTTTTATTGTAACCGTTTCTAATAGTATTATAATGAGGGATTTTAAATTTATAGGATTATAAATCTCATAAAATATCAAACAATTAATGTCAAAATTATAAAATTATAAATATTAATTGTAATATAATGAGGTGTACAAAGTCAAGGGACTTTGATAAATTTTGAATACCATGAAGGTTTTAGTCAAAGAATGTTAAGGATTAAGGACCGCATTAAAAGTATCCCTATATTATGGACATATGAAACACTGAAGAATACGTGTGCAACTTTATTTATCAAGCCACTACCTTCATATCTGCCATTTTGATTTGCATTATGGGCACATGTACACCCACCCCCTTCCACACTCCTCTTTTTTCTCCCGCTGTTAGCTAGATTTTTTTTTCTTCAACTTGAATGACATTCCCCAGTTTTATTTTTGTGGTGCTGTTTTCCAATAGTAATCAAGATGATGAAAGATTTTTCAATGTGCTCGGAACACGGGATAGTACACCATATGTCTCTATACAAGTGGTGAGATTCTTGTGTCACCAATAAATAACATAAAAAAATAAAATTTCCTACCACTTACATAATAACACGTGGTGTATCGCTTATGTTACGGCTATAAGGACAATTTTCCCATCACTTACATAATAACCAGTATTTTAATTTGGTAATTGAAAACAACATTTTAGATATAATTACTGAGTTCCGACAAAAACAAAAGATATAATTACTAAGAACATAATCTTCTCAAGGTTTTGATTTAAAAGATCACTTATGGATTCATCATTTTCGGCACAATGTGTGCTTTTACAAGACCAAACATGGTCTATGTTTCAAACCTTATGAAACTGAACCAAGAATTAGACATTATTTATAAAACTTGACCAATAAGTAGACACTATTTATGAAACTAGATTAATAGTAGACACTATTTATGAAACTAGACCACTAAGTAGACATTATTTATAAAACGAAACCAATAATTAGGTACTACAAGCTAAAGAGCCCGCGCAATGCCGCGGGTTTTGAAACTTTGTTAAATGTGTGGGACTCGTAAAAATTTATTTACATCTATATCAAAATCTATTGACATCCTATGTTCTATAAAGAACAAATCATACCTAAAAATTATCTTATTTACATCCATATAGTTATAATACAAAAAAAAAAAAAAAAATCTTGTTTTCTATGTCCCAACTTTTCACATTGTTGTTCAGTATTTCACTCTTCTTTCTTCTTTGCTGCTAAAGAGATGTTTTTCTTGTGCACGCATGTGATTTTTAGAAATGGATCAAAACTAACATGCGATGAAGAACTTCTGTGTTTCAGTTGCTTATTGATTGGGTTACAATCTCAGCAAGAGAAAAGCATTCCATGATCTGAAAAAAAAAATAATAATAATTAAGAAACGAAAAATGCTCATTATTTTGCTTTCATTACTGGTTGTGAATTTACTCAGAATACCAATTGGATGAAAAGGTATTAATTCATGAATTGTAGGAAAGGAGACAACAAATGCAAAGGTTATTTTGTATATATATTATACGAAACACACAAATGGGATTGGAGTTCCTCCTATTCTGCAAGTACGTACATAAAGATTAGAACTCACCACTTGAAATGTCTCTAGCAATTTCCCTAGTTTTTCCCTTGCAGGTGTGCATGTTGCTTTTCATGAGTCACTCCATCAAACATTATGTATTCAGTGAAGATTTTTTATTGACTGCAGAATCAGATAAAAGGGCTATAGTGAGATTCTCTAGGAGTGTAAAACGATAGTAAAAGTTTCATTGCAAACAAATGAAAGCTAAAAAAACACGAGGTGTAATAAAACTTTACGTGTTCTCTTAGTAGTCTAGCAATGTATCCATAAGCTTTACTAAAGGAAAAGCCCGAGTTGCAGGCATTATCTGACAACAGATTTCGTGGACATGCATAAAGTGAAACCGCTAATCCATAGCTAGAAGATCACTATGGAGCTTTTTTGATAGCATGAATAATGCCGACATACAGAAGATTAGATGCACAACTGACAGAGTAGTAAGCCAAATGTTTTTCGAAATTGCAAACTACATCATTACTTATGCAACTATTTTTTTTGAGAAGATTACTTATGCAACTATGATTCACCCACATTCAATGAAAGAAGCAAAAGAGTACTTCGTACTACCTAATTTACTAAGATCCACAATATCTAAAAACTACAAAATTTTGATTATAGAATCAAAATATACAGCTTATTAGCATTTCCTTAATTGTATACTCTTTGACTGTCAAGGATTTCCGTGGCATTGATATAATAGCTCGACTACCACATTGAGATACCGTAGGTGGTTGGAACATAGTTATGTACACAGAACAGTTTTTATAAGAAATGGCAGTTTTCGTAGAGGTGAAACAGTGATCCAGTCAGAACATGAATTGCTTCAATTAAGGAACCATACTTATTCAAAGGTTCTCCCATTCCTTGAAAAAATATACAAAATCAAAGTATTCAACATTTCAATGGTTCCCATATTTCTTCCATATGCATACCATTCAATAATAACCACAAATATGAGAAATTGGAAAAGGAGCAAAGGATCAGGGTCACCTTGGGCACAACTCCAGTTTGAACTGTATTGATAGCATTGCAGAGGATTATCCCACTTCTCAATCCAAGCTTAACTCTCCCTCCACAGGATCCGCCAGCATATCTATAGCAGCAACAACAACAATCATCTTTCAGAGTCCTCCGGCCGACTCATTTCTCCTTGTTGCTACAGAACAAAAGATTAGCTCAATTAGCACAACAATCAAACGAAACCCAAAATTTAATTTGTAGCCCAAAAAACCAAAGGAACAGTAATCGCGACATTTGATGAGTACATATATGAAAAATGTACCTGAAGATTGAAACTTTCATCTAATAAATCACAAAAAAAAGCAGAAAATTAGAGAAACCCAAAATTATAAATTGAATAAAATTAGATCGTCCATTTCAGTCATGCGTAAATACACCATCACACATAACAAATTTGTCTATATGACAGTGATACACAATGTAATTGCTCAGATTCAAACCACACAAAGCATTTGTAGCTCTCAAGTATACCTGTATCACATTCTGATGTTTGCTTGTTGACTTTGCTCCTGGATTCCTGACTAATGTGATCTACTTCAGTGGTGCATGAGCTTTTTTCTCCAAAGTTGCTTCCTTAAACATCCGTCTTTCCTAAAAAAAAACCCAAAAGATATCATATAAAGCTTCAATGCTATTAATACTTATTAAAGAAATTGGTCACAACAGGTTTCACATACATCCGTTCTAAACCTAAAAGGCTTCAGATTTGTAGGCTTTGGTTTCCTATACTTCTCCCCATGAGCATTGCTGGCAACAAATGTGGAGTTTTCTTTTTGAATCTTATTTGCTTGATTGACCTGCATCATTGTTCAAGCGTTAACAGGCATAAAAAACCGTAAAGGAGAAATGAACAAACATAAACACTATGAAATACGTTATTCTCATATATTTTGTAGCCTTCTTCAAGGCCTAGAATTATACAACTATTTTTTCCACTAATAGCTCTTATTTACATCTTTACTGGATTTGCATCACTTCTTTTATATTAATAAAATTAGAGGATTGCACATGCTTCTTTTTGGACGCCAAAACATTTTTTTTTTTCAATTATTCTTGTTCCTTGTGGTTGAATGGGATTCTAAGCTTCAGATTTCAAAAGCAGAGAGTTCCAAAAAACCTTAGAGCCAGTACCAATGAGCTTAAACAGAATAGATAAGAGCTAAAGAGATAGAGCTAAGCTACTTCACCTCTTCCATAAGTCTACGTCTCCACGAAAGCCTAGACATCCCAACATTGCCCAGATAGGTGTCCTATCTTGACTTGCAAGATTTACATAGAATTGCAAAATTGGAAGAGGTTTAAGCATGAACAGATTGTAAAACACAAAACTTTATAGCAGCAAATTAGGTTGCAAGCGAGCACTAACCATCATGAATAAAAAGTGGGTACACAAAATTGGCAAGAAATAAACTTGTTTCTTGAAACACAGCTATGAGTAACGGCGATCAATCTCTCCTTTTTTTTACACAATTAAACTTAAACCTTTGCATAACCAAGGTTTGGAATCGTACTCAAATCAGGAATAGGCCCTTGCAAGTTGCAGTTTCTCAAACTCCTGAAAGAAACAACAAAAACACAAAAGATTTTCAATCTTGACATGATTCGTTGTGTTAAATATTAATAGCTACTTCTCGATTGTCATTCCAAACAACCAGCACCATCACCTAATGTGATACAACATCAGAAAGAAACAGAAGATGTTCCTTGCACAATGGTTGGAAATATGTGTTTCCCAACAAAAACTATGATTCCCTCTATTGTTGCTATGATTAATCACAAATCTTTTGGATTTACACCTCCGTAGTTGGAGCTTTAAATCTGATGTATGAATAAATAGAGATTGTAGTCCTTAGATCACACACTTTTACCTTTAAACTTACTAAAAGATGGAATCAAAAGCAGCACTTACAACTTGAACAGTTTAGACATGTTGCCATAAGAATCTGGAATTGTAGTCCCACAAAAAAAACAGAGCAAACAGGTTGTTTCACTCTTGAGTTTGGCTGCGAACTTATCCCTAACCTTCTCACCAGAAAAGAAGAATATGTAAAAATTAATCAGAGTTTTTAAAAAATATACTACCTGGTTACCTGCTACTCGAAACAAATAATAAATATATAGGGAATTTTAAAATAATTCAACTGCAGGCAAGTTAATCGAAATTTGTAAAGAAAAAAAGAGCTCAAAATATTAGTAAAATTAAGAACAAAAATAATTAACCACACAACCAAATTTAATAAAAATAAATTACTGATTTTAAAACCAAATTCCAGAAATGAAGAAAAATGGAACCCTAATATGGAAATTGAAGTCTTACCTACAGATCGGTAACAGCGGCAGGTACCTCAAGAGTGAAAGAGACAAAGCTGAAGATTCGTGAGAGAACAGAGGGAGGAGTGTCTTGCGATCCATAGCTTTGTGTAAAGCTTGAAGACTTCGTAGAAATACGCGCGGTACTCATGCCTGAACAAAATAAAAAATGTGAAATTAAGAAATAATTGTTTGGAAATTAGGGTTTAGGATGAGAAAGGGGGAGAATTTGAAGAACCTCTGCTGCAGTGGCAATAGGAGTGTGATAGAAGCAGATTTTCGTGATTGAGATCGCAAGGTCGGAGAGTGAGAGAAACAAAAGCAGAGAATTGTGAGAAAGAATAGTGGAAACGGAAGGAAAAAGTCGAGAAGAAAATCGAGGCAATCGACGCACATCGATGATCGACGCGTGGATCGAATGGAAGAACACTGTTGAACGACACGTGTAAATCGGGGGTAGAAATGAAATAAAAGAATCAAAGCAAGGGCAAAAATGGAAGAACACTGTGCTTATGAACGGTGTTTCAGTTCATTTTCTCTTTTAGTGTATATATATATATATATATATATATATATATAATTTCTAAAACTAAACCAATAAGTGGAAACTATTTATGAAACTAGATAAAAAACTAAACATTATTTATGACACATGACCAAGAACTAGGCACTATTTATGAAAATTGACCAATAACTAGGCACTATTTATGAAACCGGACAAAAAAGAGACCCTATTTATGGAACTGTACTATTACTATATACTATTTATGAAACTAGACTAATAACTAAACACTATTTATGAAACATGACCAAGAACTATATACTATTTATGAAACTAGACACATAAATAGTGTAGTACCATTTTCATAAATAGTGTTCAGTTTCATAAACAGTGTCTATGATGGATGTGGGGGAGGTTTTTTTTTTATAATTTTTTTAATATTAAAATTATGTCATTTGCTTTAAAATTTAAGTTCTTTTGTCATTTTTACTAAAATTTAAAGGTTCTTCATTAATATTTAATTTTTTTTTCATTAAATAAAGTTATAGCATAGTTTTTTGTTAAAATAAACTTAACCCATTTCCTTTTCATAATACTTGAAAAAAAAATCATTCTAATATAGGCACTGGTGTTTTAATTATGGTATCTAAATATATAGGGAAGGGAATAAAATCTGAAATTTCCTCAATTCAAAACCCCTCTGAAGTAGGAGAAAGCCCATTTGTTTAATTAGTTGCCGGGTAAGATGCATGCATGCATGCCTTTAGCTGGTTTTGGAATTACAGGTCCTAAAATATATTTGTTTTAGCTGGAAATGATTATACACCCTACTGATTGGTGGGCTCTTTTTAATTATTAACAAAATATTTGCATGAATTTTATTATTATTTTCAAATAGACTCAAATCTTCAAACTCTTGTGTATGGAAGAGAATATTGTCGGTTGGAAAGAATATGTCTTGAAGAAATGAGATGGATTGTTTTGTGTAGCCAAATTAAAAAGTGAAATAAAAATTCTTAGAAGCAACAAAAATAAATAAAATAATGAAGAATGATTTTAGGTGACTAACTCTACCCATATCCAGAAAGGCCAAAAATGAATCAAGAGTAATGCTAGGGAAACCTGAATATTAGAATTACTTAATACTATGATATAATAACACATAATTTCTTTATTTGTAATTTATAAAATTTAAATTCCAATCTCATAAATAAAAAAATTAGATGCCAACTTATTACTCGCTTCTTAGTGTGAATATGTTGTTAGATATAAATAAAGTGTTGAATATTGGCAACCGGAAGAGGGAAGCAAATGGGTTAGAGAAAAATTCCTCATTTTGGTGGCCCAGCTTCTTATGGTAATTGTGTAAAAACCAGCCCAGCCCAAATAGGAGCATTTCGAGAATTGAACTCAGGACCTCTCGCATCCTAAGCAAGAATCATACCACTAGACTAAGGGCTGGTTTGGTATTGCTGTGCTTTGAAAAAAAGCTGCTGTGAAAATAAGCGGCTGTGCTGTGAGAATAAGCGGCTGTGAAATAAATCAGCAGAGTGTTTGGTAAACTTTTTTGTAAAAGTGCTTTTGGAAAAAAAAGCAGTCTAATAGTGGGTCTTTTCATTAAAGAAGCACTGTAGCTCCCTGTGCTTTGAAAAAAAGCTAGTTTTCCAAAGCTACAAATAACAGCTTCAGCTTTTTCCTTTGATTTCAGCTTATTTTCACAGCAGCTTCCAAAATAAGCCCTTTTTTTTCAGTTTACCAAACACCTAAAACCCTCACAGCTTTTTTTCATGGGTGCTTTTTTTTTAAGCACCTCACTCCCAAACTAGGTCTAAATGTCCGATCTGGTACAGTGTCCTATTAAATTATAGCTGTAGGATCAGTTGAAGCTTAAAACACAATAGGTGATGCATATATTGTCAAAATTCCACGCATTTTGTGGGTTTTCTAACCTAAAATGTGAAGATAATAGGCAAAAGAAACCTCAATACCGAAGCAACTAACCGGACTTAGAAACTTGAAACTATATATTAGGCTAGTTTAAAAATTATAAGTTTTTTAGTTTAAACTTGAGAAATTTTGTGTTTGATTCTTTGTTTTTTTCCCAAATATCACCATGTATATTAAATGATGGAGTCATTAGGATATATAGACCCGAAGTACTCAATGGACTTTTAAAACTGAAAACGTTTGATAAAAGAAATATCATATAGATAAGTTGAACTTGTCCTTCCAAAACCGGCTTTAAAAAAATTAAAAAATTAAAAAAAAAACTAATGAAAAATGTTTGAAAACTTTGAGTTTTAAAGATAAGAACAAAATAAAAAGTAAAGTGAATAGTACCATGATTGACTTTTTATTGTAAAAATATGGTTTTTTGTTAAAATAAACAGTACAAAGAGCTTTTTGTTAAAGTTTCCTTAAAAAAAAGGTGCTCAATAACTTTTATATTAGGTCTGTGGTAGCAATCGATAGCAAATATATAGACGGTTCATAATATTTTTACTAATACCATTCATAATAGTTTGATGACTAAACAACCTTAATTTTAATTGATTTTTTGCAAAAACGATCTTTATATGGTGATTTATATTATGAATGGTTCTGATTATAAACACGAAGTTCTATAAATTGACAACAAACAATTTTGAAAATTTTTGAGTCGGAGTTCCTACTCATCTTTGAGTAGTCAAGTATTGTTTAAAAAGAAATTATTTTTTCATCTTTAGGATAGAATTCCAATTAGTTGACGGAATTAACAGAGTTATGGACTTTTGCTACAATTTAGCCTATATATTATTCCAAGATGTTGTATTTCTTTTAGGTGAGATGTCGGGATCCTAATAAAAGTCTAAGACCGACAATTGTAGATGTGTTGTCTTGGGTCTTCCTTCGGAGACTTCTTGGATTGTTCCAACCCTAACTTATCTACCATCATTCCTTTATTGTAAGGAAACAAAAAAAGCGAGGCAAAAAAGGGTGATGTGTACCAAGCAATCCTATGCATATACTTTTCTTCGTCGAGGTTTGAACTCTACTTAATTAACTACAAGTGGATTTGAGATATCACTGTAGACATCGAAATTTCGGTAAATAAATGTTGACCGATAAATTAAAGTGTCAACGCTCATGTATTACATAAATTTTACACGTAGCATGCAACTCAGCGAAAATTGAAATGAGTTGGAAAAGTCGTCAAATAGGACACGTGTCAACACCTGGCAGAAACAACTTATTTAATCTGGATATTATATTCAAAACTAGGCCTTGGAAATTCTATAATAGAAGGCTAATTCATTCATTTTGGGGACCAAAAAAATCATTAGGCAAAAACTCTTGAAGCTCTGAAGCCTTGAAACTCCGAAAGCTCTCAAGCATCCAGGTTCCCCGAAGAATCAAGAAAGCGTTCTTCGTTCATCGTTCTTCCAAGATCAAGCCCGACGGCCCTTGGATCAACAATCGTCCACCTTCAAGATCAAGCCCCGACGGCCCTTGAAGAAAGTGTTCTTCGTTCTTCGTTCTTCCAAGATCAAGCCCCGACGGCCCTTGGATCAACCATCCACCAATTCAAGATCAAGCCCCGACGGCCCTTGAAGAAAGCACCATCGTTCATCATCCGTTCATCCAAGATCAAGCCCCAACGGCCATTTGGATCAACAACGTCGACAAATCCACACATCCAACCGTTCTTCAAGATCAAGCCCAAAAAGCCCTTGAAAGTCTTGTTCATCACTGTTCTTCAAGATCAAGCCCAAAAAGCCCTTGGAGATCCGTTGTCACTGTTCTTCAAAGATCAAGCCCAAAGCCCTTTGAAGATCCACTCAAATCCACCTTCAAAGATCAAGCCCACGGCCCTTTGAAGAAACTTCCAACAGTTCATCCAAGATCAAGCCTCGACGGCCCTTGGATCAACGAAACACCCACCAATCAACACCTTAACGGAGATCGAATCAGAGGATCGAATAGAAAGAGAGATTGTAACCAAAATCATCAAATACTTAATATTTGTTTGTGCACGTCGTTCTTGTCTCTTTCGTTTCAGGAATTTTCCGTGTTCACAAATTGGCACGCCCAGTGGGACCATCTCTCTACTCTCATCTCTTCTCCGTTTCAAGGAATCCAAGCAACACCTCAAAGTCAATGGCATCAAGCAGGGACAAGCCGTTCTTGCAACCACTGAGGGAAGGATCCTAAGCACTTCTGCGCAAACGGACAATCCATTGGCGCCACAACCGCTCTCAACATGCCACTTCAAAATTGGTGCCGCTAAAAGAGCAAGGGGAGCATCCAAGGTGTGAGTATGTCATCAACCTGACCTCGCTGGAGGCACCAAAGCATGATGTTGGGGCACACAAGATGACATCCCAAAGCAGCCAACGACGTTCTTCATCAGCATCCTGGATGTCTAAAGGAAAGTCACGTCTATTGGTCGCACAAGTCATGACTATCGGCGTTACTCCGTTGAAGAACAACTGGCTCAGATGAATGAAGCAATCGCAAGGCTAACCCGAACTGTGGAAGAAAAAGACTTGCAAATCGCTGCACTCGTCAGCCGATTGGAGCCACAGGACGACGAGAACCCTAACCCAGAAGATGAGCCTCAGGTGGAGAAAAACGATGCGAAGCCCGAGCCAGACCAAGCAGCGGCACTCATGGGATCTCTTTCTATCCAGCAGCTGCAAGAGATGATCACCAACACCATCAAGGCACAGTACGAAGGGAGCTCAAATACCTCCGGGTTGTACTCAAAGCCGTATTCAAAGAAGATCGACGCCCTAAGGATGCCAAGGGGTTATCAACCACCAAAGTTCATGCAGTTTGATGGAAAAGGAAACCCAAAGCAGCACGTTGCACATTTCGTCGAAACTTGCAACAACGCGGGGACAGAGGGAG